ATATGTCGATCGATACTTTCGACTCATGGACATGTTATAAGAGATATCTCTCTACAATTGCTTTTAGTAACTGCGGTACTAGAGACAACAAATTACAAAAATATTCATTAGTTTTCAATTCCGGAATCATGAGAATGGCAGCCCACCGATTTCGCATGGCAGACATGCCTAAGTGGTGAAAAACATACAACTATAGAAAAGAGACGCATATAATTGCTAAGAACAAAACAAATAGTTGTACCCATGACATTCAACTATCTGTAGGTATACGGCAAATGCCATTTAATTGTTTTATTAGACCTGCAGCTGTGCAGTCCTGCAAGTGTATTATGCAAATTGCTGCTGCAAGACATTGCAAGTGACAACCAAACTGAATACATTTCAAGACAGCTTTGCAATAAAAGGTGCCATTGGTTAAGTTTTATAACAAAAGAAGAAGTATTTATTAAGATATTGAGATTTTTATTTTATTCGAGTTTCACTTGGCTGAACACAAAAGCAAACCCTTAACCACTGCGCTACGAAGTATTTGCACTATTGACGTCTTTCAGTGTGATTTAATGGACGGGTTTGTTGCAGCGTTCTGTTAATCAGAAAAGTTCGATTTCACATAAAATGGGTTCAGATTCTATTTTTTGGACAAATGAAATAGATTTCACATTTACATTTCCATCATTTAAGCGTTCACAAAGAATGGAGACTTGACCAATTTATGTTCAAAATGCGTTGTTTTTTTATAGCTCTATTAAACCCATTTCCACTAAATATGCTTAACTGTCAACTTTGAAATAAATATCAAATTATGAGTCGCTCAGAAAAATATAATAATGAAATACTTTAAAGATGACATTACTGAGAACATGATTTTAGAAAAATACAGCTTTTTGTGAATTTCGAAAATTAAAAAATATTTTTTCTCAGAGCTGTGTATTGAACACGCCTTATACGCCCACCTTCAAAATAGACATAATTTCGGGAGTTGTTCACACTGTTTTTAAAAACGTTTGATAGAAAAAAAAGCTCAGTACTCAAAGTAACCCTTTAAAAAATGAATGAAAACGACTGCGTATACGAATATATGAACAATTATTTAAAATATCAGTAACTGTAGTTATCCACGTTTAACTGAATATCAAACAGATAATGAAACTTGAATCAATTGCTCAAAACCCTCAAAACCAAATTTACAATAAGATGTACTTGACAAGAACAGCACAGGTCTGGGAAGAGCAGAGAATTGCGAGGCACAAAGATAGATTTATAGGCAATCTTCTTAAACATTAGTGGTCTTATTGTACAAATTTGTATTCGGGGATGCAGTTTAATTGCTGGAGAAATCTAGAAAGCAATTTATTTTGCAAAAAATCAAAAGGTTAGTAAGAATCAGGAATCCAAAACATTAGATTTTTTCATGACAGCGTCCAGACCCGAAAACCCTGAAGAGTAAAGGAGTCTTGGGGATAAATAAATGTTAATGTTCATTCACATTAACAATATTCGCCAGATTTTTCGCCTTTTGACTTGTTCCATTTGCCAAACTTGAGAAAACGCCTTTCATAAGGAAGAAACAAGTCCATGAAATCATAGGATCTGCAATAGACGAGTATACAAAGGTTCATACCCGAAAATGAGTTAAAAAAACAATAGAAAATGAATCAGAAATTGGATATAAAATGTTACTGACATGTGTTTTAATGCAAAGATATTTTAAGGTTAAATCATTATAACTAAATTATTAAAAAGCGACTTTTGTTCCTTTCCGAGCACCGAAGATTATTTATTAAACGATCCTTGCATAAGGTGACCTTCCAATGTACAATATCAGGTGTCCTCTGGTCCCCCTACTGATGTACAATATAAGGACCCCCTTTTAATGTACAATATGAGGTGACCCTTGGTCCCAGTGCTGATGTACAATATAAGTTGACTTCTGGTTTTCCTACAGATGTTGAATATAAGGTGACATCTGACTCCCTTCTGATGTTAGATATAAGGTTACCCCTGGTCCCCCTTCTGTTGTACAATATAAAGTGACCTCTGGTCCTTCTGCTGATGTACAATATAGGATGACCTCTGGTCCTACTACTGATGTATAATATAAGGTGTCCTCTGGTTCAATATAAGGTGACCATTAGTCTCCGTACTAATGTAAAATATCGAGTGACCTCTGATCCCCTTACTGATGTATAATATAAGGTGACCTCTAGTCCCTCTTTTGTGTTAAATATAAGGTGTCCTCTGGTCCCGTTACAGATGTACAGTACAATATTAGGTTACAACTAGTCCCCGTACAATATAAGGTGACCTCTGGTCCCCCTACTAATGTGCAATAAATGGTGTCTTTTGGTCCCCCTACTGATGTACAATATAAGGTGTCCTCTCTTCCCCCTACTGATGTACAATATAAGGTGACCTCTGGTCCCCTACTAATGTACAATATAAGATGTCCTCTCTTCCCCCTACTTTTGTACGGTTTAAGGTGACCCCTGGACCTGTAACTGATGTACAATATAAGGTGACGTCTGGCCCTCTAATAAATTAAAATGAAAGGTGACTTATGATCGCTCTAATGATATGCAATATTGGGTAAGGTAAGGTACAGTATAATGTAAAGTTACCTCTGGTCCCTCTGATTACTTTCATGTTTCTGCTAATATATACGCGGGTATGTTAAGGAAGCATATAATTAATTTCTCGGGAAATTTCAACTTTTTGAAGAAAATTAGTTTAATTAATTACCAAAAAACACTGATAAACGTAATTTGTAATTTACTATTGCATACAGATAAAAGCGTGTCTAACGCAAAGACGTGCATCACCGTCCCAGCATCACGTGACTTCTATTAATAGCAAAATTTTCCTTATAAAAAAGCTTACAGAACAACAATACCCCGGAGTTTGATAATTTCTTTGAGTATGTAATATAGCTGAAAAACATCTATTTTGTTTAAAAAGTGCTGCTAGAATCCCACTATCTTGTCCGTAAAATATTTATTCCACACATTTGCACAAAACCTCACCCTTTGTTGTAAATTTTATACATATGAATCGATATTTTTCGTACAACCATGCTTAACTCGGCATTCTAGCAGCACTTTCCAAGTTTGTTAAAACGCAAACTTTCAATCTGTACAAACCGTATGTTTTGAAATATCCAGCTTATTGCTCTTCTGTTGCATTGTTTGGTAACAAATGACGGACGATAGGCCGACCGGGATAGGTAACATAGCTGAATATCTTCGCAAGAGAATATAAGCGATGAAAATAAATTAGCATACATGTTTTATTAATTGAACTCCATAAGAATTTAACACAATATTTCCGATATTTCCTTTTAAACTCCATTTTACATATCTTTGAACATGCCGTCTTACCCAAATTCTCTTAACACGACACGATCAATTTCCAAGTTACTTGATGTACACATGTGACGTCATCGGTGGTAGATTTCAATCATAACGACTGTTACAGCATAACAAAATAAAAACATTTTTTTTTTGTTAATGTTTAGACGTTTCTTATCATCTACTAGAGTTGAATTACATCGCTAAATACTAATATTTCAAAAACCTGATTTTTAAAATTGACGTCATCTTGTCTACTATGACGTCATAATGCAGCACTGATTTATCTAAGGCAAAATATTTTGTATGCTTCCTTATTCCCCCTGCGTATATGAGAAAGTAGATCTGTGTAAATTAAATTATAAATATGATTATTTTGGAGTAAGACAAAAAGAACTGTCTATCATATAAAATTCAATTAATATATAAGGTGACCTGAGGTCTCCGTATTTATATCGATGAAATTACTTTTGTAAATTTAATGCCTGAAGAGTTCATAAAATGTTTTATTACTACGCAAAATGACGAACTATTTGCGGGGGACCTCAGGGCCTAGTTCAGCGTACGTTTTATCCTTCTGCACTTTGCAGTTTAAAAGTAATAACAGATTATAACACCTGTGTTATTATTATACTATGGGTCAACATTTATTACAGAAACAAGTGCCTGTGAAATAAAGCTACGGACTTGAAGTGGCCATAGTGTGATTTTAAGATTAGATAAGTTAAGATAAATTTATTTCCAATTTTGGGCACAAAAGGCATAAAGGTTTCTTACAATGACAAGATAGAAAGTTCTGAAAGAAAAGTTAGTAAACACATACAAACATAAACATACACACATGTATATATCTGATATAATATTACAAGTAAATGAGGATGTAGATGCAGCATTTTGGTGAATTTATGCATGAGTGCTGGTGGGCACTGACCCCTGACCCCCCTTTCAAAATCTACTGGATCCACCTCTGTTCTGATATAGTCTTGTCACAAATAACAAAATATTGATCAGAAGAGTTTCGCTTTTAAATCATTAAATAATAATTTATAAAAATATAGAGCATATACTGGTATAAAAAAATCCCAATTAAAAATATTGATTACACACTTTCCCTACGATTTCAGCCTTGATTTTTTTATAACTAAAAACGAAGAATTGACCTTGCTTGGAAACCCCGCTCCCACCTTTTCACTATCTGAATATGGAAGTTGATTGATAGTACGTGTGTGTGGATGGAAAGTTCGTCAAAAAATAGAAACGACTATGATTACATTTGTAGACGATTAATGTGGACCCAACTATGGAAAAAAGGCCTGCATCTGTTCCAATAGGACAAAGGGTTACATACTCTGTATATTTGTATGCTTACAGCACACGAGTTCACGTACCTATCAATTTGACCGAAATTTTCTGTAAATAAAAAAAAACGTAATACATATACCTATGAAAATAACACTGTGTTATTCCTTTTCATTTGAAAAGGCAAAGATGTAATTAGTGATTATTTTTATAGGTTAGATCGCGAACCTTGCTTTTTTCTTTCTACAGATCATATAAAAGTCTTAAAAATTTTTGATTTATTTATAATAGCGCTTTCTACATTTTACTTAGTAATCAAGGAAAAATCATCATCACAGATTATCCATATTGTACAAAGAGTACTATAATATGCCGCAACACAAGATAAATCAAACAAAACACATTTACATATAAAAACTTTACATACGCAAGGATTGATCTGACAAAAACTATTAATATTAATTAATTTTAATCAATAATCCATCACATTCTCTAGATAAGTTTTCCACACTGACTGATGATGAGGTGGCCGTGTTATTCTGTTTTCTGTGTTCTGACTCCGGTCCTCCTGACTTCACTGACACAGAGTGGCTGGACAAGCTTAATGCGATAGGACGGAGAGTGTACGGTTATAGAAATCCTGTAACACGTGAGGAAGCAAAGCAGACCCTGGACAGACTGAAGTCACGTGATTACCTTTGGGAAGATCAGGACAAGATAACGGAGGACACAAAAGATGAGACAATGTATAGAATAGCATCAAGAAGCCGTGATATACCATTCTATTACAGTAGTTATGACACAGCCAGTGTGTACCTGAGATCACGGAGATACAACAGAGAACCTGGAGAGAAGTGTGTGCGTGGTCCTATTTTTGATGCCTTACTGATACTCCGTCTACAGATGAACATACTGACTCACGTCACCATGAAGGACACGAGAATTTTTAACACAATTTACAGGATATGTAAGTAAATGAAAAGAAATGCTAGTTATTTTAGGATGTTTTCATTCAATGAAGAAATTTATTGAATTCATATAAATTAGACAGAGTCATCATAGCTGTAAATATTTTGCTATGGTGGATATTGATCAATGTCAGGTACATTCATGCTGTAAAGAGTGGATATTTGTTTTATAACTAAATTCAATTGGTTCTTTTATCGTTCTTGCTTCAAATTATATTTCTATTAATACTCATTTTAAAAGTACTATTACAATATTAATATTATACATTATTTACTTTTTTTTGACAGTGAATATTCCATACAATAAACTGAACGAGGATGAGGATAAAAGGAAACAATTACTAATAGATCTAAGAAGAGAAGGGGAGTCTGTACATTACAGAGGTAGATCACATGACAGTGTAGATCACGTGACGTGGCTCCTGAGATACAGTAGACCTGACATCGTGAGATCCTGTATAGGTCTACATCCACACCATGATATTTATATAATCGACAACAAAGCTTACAGAAAACCAAGTAAGAAGAAAGGTTCAGTGATGTTTTATTTGAATAATACAAACATGTAAACATAAGACTTAACTCATTACAGTTTTACACGTATTAATCTTTTATAGACTCTCCCATTCGTCCGATCACATGTAAATACAATACACCACGCAGACGGACGGACATCCCGATCATTACATAATATCCCTCTTTTCAAGAGGGGGGGGGGGGGCGAGATAATCCCAGTTGGCGAACACTTATTGTTCAAAATTGGTACGGGTAAAACAAAAATATGCTAGAACAGAGAAGAGTATGTATAAACAATAATTATAATTTTATCAACGAGAAATTATATAAATGAAACAATTTTTTAAAAATATTATTTTCACTGTTTCAGTCTTTTGTAACAGATCGCTCCATTGAAAATAAAAGAGTGTTTTTTTGCTGCAGATAAGAATACTAGATGTCGCATAAATAGAATTATATTATGTCGTTGATATTAGAGAAAAAAAATAAACAAGAAAACCCTAAAATATAATATATAATAATTATACAAGTACATGTATATCTTGTACAGTGTATGAGGGGCGTTCAATAAATAATGTCATTGGTGCTCAGAAAGAAGCAAACGACGCTTTTCAATGATTTAGTCTTAATGATTTTACTTATTAATCTATTTTAATTCAAACACATGTCCGTAACATTTTTTATCCATTTTCTGATTGTTTTTAATTAAAAACCATTTTTGGGTATGACCCTTAGTATATTGGAAAATGGCATATCCAAAGATTTCCCGGACTTGTTTTTTCCTTCTGAAAGGTGTTCTATTCAAGTTTGGAAATAGAAACACGTCAAAATGTCAAAGATCTGGCAAATATAGTTAATGTGAAAAACATTAACTTTCTGTTTATCCCGTTAACCCCTTTACTCTTTAGGGAATATGGATTTAAATGCTGTCATGAAGAAATTCAATGTAATGGATTCCTGATTCTGGGTCCTTTCTCTGATAAACCTTTCTATTTCTTTGCAAAATAAACTGCTTTTTAGACACCTCCAGATATTAAACTGTCTCCCCAAAAACGAATTTGAACAATAATACCACTAATATTTAAGAAAATTGCATATAAATCTGTTTTTTGTGCTCTTGCATACCTTTGCTCTTGACAGACATTCGCCGTTTTTATCAAGTACATCTTATGGTTAATTTTGTTTAAATAGTTTTAAGCAAGAGATTCATGTTTCAAAATCTGTTTGAATATAACACAAACGTGGATTATTACAATTACTGATATTTTAAAATAATTGTTAAGACTTTTGTACACGCTGTCGTTTTCACTAATTTTTCAAAATACAGGGTGACCTTCGAGTACCAAGCTTAATTACTGTCAAACTTTCTTAAAAAAAAGTGTAAACTATATCCGATATGATGTCTATCAAATTTGCTATGTGTCTCAAAGTCAATCAAACTACATCAAATATTATTGGTTGAAATTGGGCACACATTACATAAGTTGTTATAATTTTTGTTGGCAAGGAGGGTACCCATTTTTGATGCCCATTATATAAATTTTTATTTTTGAAATCCACCTGCTAATTTGTCTATAAAACAGGCTTCGGTTGCTGTAAATGTCACATATTTTAGTGAATATTTCTTTGGGATTTTTCACAAGTTTTGCTGCAGCTTTAATGTAGCTTATATTTTCACTCTAGTTTACTGATTCTTTACCATTCATTTATAATGCAGTGTCTCGAGTAGCCCTTGTTTCCCAGCTTCTCAGGATAAAACTATGTGATGAAAAGTGGTCACATAAACTGTTATTAATTCATTAAAGATTCAATAATAAGAGAAAGTCAAGCTTTATGTCATATGACTACTATAATGTATGTAATCGAGCTAATGACATTATTTATTGAACACCCTTCGTATGTTGATTACTCTTCATTGTGTTTTAGGTGAACTTCGTAACAATCCACCGGGTGTCAGGTGTCTACTGTATTCTCTACTGTTAACAGAGAAATATCAGCTGAATCTCAATAAACAATCTTACAGAATCACACTGGAAATCAGAGACAGATATTTCCATAATATTACTGATGACGACTCGGTAGATCTTCCTGATGGAATCACAGAAACACATAATGGTGTGATGACGTTTATATCAGACGACATCAGGCATGACGTCATGTACGCCTTTGTTACGGAGTGTCTGTTGGAGGAGAGCGATCTGGAGTTTTGTCTGACCACGGCGTCACGTGACGTGATATCAGAATACTGCCGGTCCTGGGATTATAGGAGGAGTGAGGGAGAGAGATGTCTGTATTTACCGGAGAAGCCAGAGAAGATGTACGACCTTTTCATAGACAAACTACAGCTGGACATCATCACACACTGTACCGTGTCTGACGATGGGATTCATGACAGGATCAGCAAAAAGTGTAAGTATTACTTTTGTATAAAAATGGATTAGCATATCCAAGATAGATTTCAGTCTCTTTTTCCTTATCACTTTAATTTTGTTCTGAAATTAGATATTTTTTTTTCAAAAGGTATTTATGCCTTTAGCTATCACCCCACTCTCTCAACTTCCCAGAGGGATTAGACTTTTTAATAACTGCAGATCTGTAACTCTCCGAGAAAATATATATTGATAGTCTTCGGTCTATCAATACATTTTTTTCGGAGAGCGACAGATCTGCAGCTAGCATTTTTTGGTGAATTCATATGATTAGCAATCTTTAGAAAAGGGTTCTTATAACAATCGTTATAAATACATTCGGAATATTTTCATAGATTCATATACAGAGACATGAGAAAAGTTAAAAGTGTCAAATCGGATTTTTTTTATATCCTCCTCTAGTTCTAAGATTTTTTTTTTCATTCATGTCAAATTCATTTGAACGATTAAATAATATGACCCCAATATAATTTTTTTATTAATGCAAAGCTGTTTAACGTGAACTTGATAAAAATAATAACCTTGGTACATGTATGTAACGAACCTGCGCTTAGGTATGTAAATTTTGAATATTTTTAAGAACTACGAATTGTAACTCTTGATTCCCGCCTACATTTTGCAACATTAAATTCAATTTCAATTGCAATTTCGATATTAAATCTTAGATAGTAAATTATCATTAATTTCAGCTCTTGTAAAAAAGGGGTTGACGATATATCAGGTAGTGTAGATTCAAGTATGGAAGCATCCCCAGGTTATGTAGATTCAAGTTTCGTCAAATCATGACCACCAGGGGTGAGGCAAGGCCACAATGGCCGACCAAAGTTTTATATAGAAATATATAGGAAATTGTTTAAAAATCTTCTTTTCAAGAACAGCAAGTCCATAATTGCTAATATTTATATGGAAGAATCCCCTGGCAGTGTAGACTCAAGTTTGTTCAAATCATGACCCCCAGGGGTAGGCCGGGGCCACAATGGCCGACCGAAAGTATTATATAGAAATATATAGGAAAAATCTTTTAAAATCTTCTTCTCAAGGCCATAATTGATCATATTTATATGGAAGCATCCCCAGGTAGTGTTGATTCAAATATATTCAAATCATAACCCCTGGGGGTAGGGCGGTGCCACATTGGCCGATCAAAGTTTTATATAGAAATATATAAGAAAAATCTTCAAAAACCTGTCTTCTTCTCAAGAGCAGCATAATTGCTCATATTAATATGGAAGCATCCCCAGGTAGTGTAGATTCAATTTTTTTCTTCAAATTATGATTCCTGGGGTTAGGGCAGGGCCACAATGGCCGACCAAAAGTTTTATCAACTAGTTGGGCAATGTGATAACAAGGTATCTGAAACTTTATGGCGCAATACAAAGAATGGCTTTAAAACAGTTCATACAGTGATGGAAATGCCATGTATTTAGGAATTCATCTCAGCTTTAAGCACATAACATTATGCTTGAAAATGTTTCCATTTAAGCATTGAATTAATATTTTTAGATGTCTTCGGTTCTATAACACACCTGGGAGTGCCGACAAATTGAATATGCTCATGTAAATTTACATTCTCTATTTTTACTAACTCTCATAATGTTTTTGGGAATCATTCTTTTGAACTTTTATTTATCTATTTATTTGGAGCTCAGTCTTAATACCCTTAATATTTTAGAACGTATCTAGTGAACATTATTGTGTATTGGTCTATGCAAATCACATTTCAATATTTGAAAACTATACAATCACGGAAAAACTGTAATTGGAATTTATTTAATTAACTTTGGAAATCGACACACGTGTTCATTGGCTTACATAGCTAAAGTCAATTTGGTGCCGTGTCCGGGATTTGCTAAGTACTATAAACGTTTCTGATCAAAACTGAAAAAAAGGACTACGCTGAGAGAGTGGGAGCCGGAGCCCCTGTGTATCTGGCCGCCGAAGTCTTGGAGTTGGCATGCAACGCCGCCCGCGACAACAAGAAGACCAGAATCATTCCTCGTCATCTGCAGCTGGCCATCCGCAACGACGAGGAGTTGAACAAACTCCTGTCCGGTGTGACCATCGCCCAGGGCGGTGTCCTGCCCAACATTCAGGCTGTGCTCCTCCCCAAGAAGACCCAGAAGTCAGCCAGCAAGTAAAAACCCTGTTTTCATCAGAAAATCAAATTTCAATATTCGAAAACTATACAATCACGGAAAAACTGTAATTGGAATTTATTTAATTAACTTTGGAAATCGACACACGTGTTCATTGGCTTACATAGCTAAAGTCCATTTGGTGCCGTGTCCGGGATTTGCTAAGTACTGTAAACCTTTCTGATCAAAACTGAAAAAAGGACTGTGAATTTAATTAATGCTCGGAACCAGGAATAACGAAATCCTTCATGGTCATATTAATACCGATGACCAACATGACCAAAGCAATGCAAAGTATAACTAAAATGTCAAACGCAGAGGGAAAATGTGACAAGGTAGGACGTAATTTTCTGACCCAGAAGTATCTGTAGCCTAACCAAGTTTTGATTTTATAAATTGATATTTCGGAAATGTGTTGGATTATTCTTTTGGTTTGTTTTAAAAAATGCCTATGGCTTATTTGGAAACAGTTATCAAAATGAAGGAAATATCTAAAATTTTATTTGAAGAGGAACTTTTATCATGTAATGTTTATTCACTGTTACCATTATAAAAAGTGAATAATACTGGAATTTTCTTTTTGGAAATCATCTTAAAATTGAATTTCTAAAACACAAGGAATGCATTTAATTATATTGTACATAAGTGTTGTAGTGATGGTAGTTCGCTTGTAAACAATGTTGATTTAAAAAAAAAAGAAAAGGGAAATTATTAAGCAATATCTTGTAATGGGCAGGCAAGAGAAAATGGTAATGAAGTTCACGTCAGAGTTATTATAATAATTTTTAATCATTGAATTTGAAAATTGACTAGATTTGTTTTGAAGTTTTGAAATCTCGAGAAAGGTGCAACACTGAATCAAACAATACGTTGAAATTCATCGTAGACTAAGTTTGAGGCATTAATTTTTAATATGACGTTGGTCTGGTACCAAGGACGATGATTACGTCTGACCCAGTGTTAATGGGCCGTCATAAGTGTTTTTACTAATCCGGAGTTGAATTCGCTGTGAGGATGCGATTGTGAAAAGGATAGTACCGAGTTAATGTTTTTGAGAAGACTGTGGATATCATAAGAAGTCGTGGAAATGAGGAATACGACTGATGATAGCAGACATTTGGAGATGCTGACAGATAAGGAAAACGTTGGAGACTAATGATATTTGCTGATTTGTGGTGTACTTTTAAATGGATGTATCAAGAATTAATAAGTCAATTACAAATTTTGACGTTGAAGAACATTTTTTTTAATTCGGACTTAACCTTTGGACTCAAATTTAAAAATACGGGATACATGATGGCTTCTAATTTGAAGGACGATACTACCGTCTGGAGTGGAGATAAATGCACTCCGTCATCTACTAAATCACCAGGATTGAATCCGCTGCCTAAACTTCAAAAGTATCACGGTGATCTATGTTACTTATTAAATATGATTGTGGAATAAATTAAATTTTAATCTATACCTAAGTGTGGAATAAGAACATTGGTTCCAAAGCGAACAAGTGTAGTGAAGCGTAGTGAAGGCGCCAATAGTGAACAGTAGTTAATATTCACTTATAATTGTAAGGTGAACATATACTCACCGTCAATGAAAACGCAACACTCTAATTTTAGGGTGAAAAGTATATACGGGTTATAACTATGTACAAAAAAAAGTTAGGACATCTTTTACTTTTCCAAATCAATTATTTAACGGTTGAATGAATTTCTTTCCTCTACCGGAAGTTGCTTTTTAGCCCTCTTAACAGAAATCAAATTTTGCATTTTTTAATAAAATTTTAAACAATATTTTGGTTTTCAAGGTTTTGAAACTGTTAATCATAAGTATTGTACTGAAGGGCCGGGAAAAAATCCTTCTTTTTTTACCGGATGTGATGCCTATATTTCCTCAAAATGACTGATTTTCATTGCTAATGCTGGAAATTCTTAAAATGAAGAAAAAAAGAGCTGCAGATGCAAATGTACACTATATCACAACTCATCAGGCTCATGTGTTTCAATAGCATAAATAACATTTTCTTGACCGGAAGTCCAAGAGTTACTACACTACGCCAAGTTAGAGAAAATTCGACCGCAGTATCTGAACAACAGGCAATTAAAAATGCCCAAGAATATTTATTTCGCTCAGATAAAGACGTTGATAAACCTAATGGGTGGTAAAAATCGGACTGCGTACAAGTATAATTTTCATAGCGGACTAGCATGTTTTGATTAAATGGTCAGAAAGGGGGGTGTTTTATTTAATTGTTATCTGTTAAGAGGGCTAAAAATCAGCTTACGGTAATGAAATGAAAACCATTCAACCATTAAATAACTGATTTGGCAAAGTAAAAGTTGTCCTAAATTGTTTGGTATATAGTTATAACCCGTATATACTTTTCACCCTAAAATTAGAGTGTTGCGTTTTCATTGACGGTGAGTATATATTGGACATATATAATAGACCCATGTAATCAATGTAACCGTATATATTGGACTTTATTTCGGGAACAAGAAAAAGACGTCCGAAAAAAAAATTACTGTATAGAATTAACAATTGTGACTAAATAATTTTCAAAAACTGAGGAATTTCTTTAATAAAAAGTTAACAGTATTGCGGATTTACTTCCTATCTTGTGAACGAAAACAACTGTGACTAAGTTTAAAATTATGTTCCGAATTTAACGGAGAAATTTCCAAAGGAAAATTTCATAGTGTGTGGGGACGAATGTAAACCTATAGGGTTTAGTACGTACATATTATTTGAACATTTAAAACTTACACAATATTAATATCATCATCATTTTTAGTTATTAGCGGTGAACGTAAACTGATATAAAAGTTTATTAAATCAGATTGTGTATTATTAGTGATGCAAATTCGCTGACTTTTTATTGGAAAGTGGACTTTATTTTGTAAACAATTATTATCTTGTCGAAAGAAATTGGATTTTGATTTGTTCAAATGCACTATAATTTGTAAGATCAATTTGTAATGAAATTGATCCGAATAGACCAATCAAGCCCATCGATAGTAAGTAATAAAATTTGAACGGAAATACAATGGTATTTTTAAGAGTTTTGACTAAGAGCAATAAAATTGGGAACTTTGAAGTAAATAAGTAAAAGAGCTTAAGGCTAGAACTCCTGTGGTGCAGAGATGAGGGCTGAGCCCATAGATATTAGTAACATGTATTTACCTGTAATTGAGGGTGGTGCCATGTTGGGGTTCATAGGTCAACGGGGACAGACCAACGGACAAAGCGAAGGTGTTTGGTGATGGCGAATTAGCCAATGGAATGTAATTCTTTATCCGGGATCATGGATACCCACTGAGCACAAAATACCCTGTTTTGTTCAGAAAAGAATATTCCCGGATTTGAACTTAAATTACTCACTATTTCATTCTATTTTTGGGAATCAATCTTTTGGACTTTGATTTTTTTTTTTATTTGGAGTTCAGTCTTAAAACTTTTATATACTAGAACGTATCTAGTAAACATTATTGTGTATTGGTCTATGCGAATCACATTTAAATATACGAAAACTATACGATCTCGGAAAAACTGTAATTGGAATGTATTAAATAAACATTGGAAATACACAATTGTTCATTGGCTTACATTATTTTTTTTTAATTGTGTAAAGCTTTTTATTACCCTTAATTATACTTAACCGATGTCGTCCTGAGCAGTGCTAACATTTGTTTTTTCTCTTTTAATCATTAGTGAACATACCTGAAGAAGTGTTAAAATGGGGTTTAGAAGAAAGAAAACGATTTGTACGCAATATGAAAGAAGACAATGTCCCTATGTATCGTGCGAGGTGTCTCCTCGTGGGCTGTACAGGAGCAGGGAAGACAACTGTACTTCGTAATCTGAAGAGAGAGAAAGGGAGGGAAACCAGACAACCAACAAAGACAACTATCGGATTGGACGTTCATCAGGATCTGTTTCTTATTAGACAATCTGAAGATGACAATAACAGCACTTTATTCGGTTTGTTTGTTAATACATAAACATGTAACATGTAAATGTATGTAAACAAACACGATTTTTAAGGGGTGAAGGAAAAAGAAAAAAGAGGAAATATATAAATCGATAAAAGGCAAAATCAGTAATGTTTCGTTAAACCCATGCAGCCATCTTTATCAAAAAAATTCCACGGATTCTATTTATTTGCTTATAATATCAAGTGCAGTATATACGAATTGCAGGGTTTTGTTTGTTTGGTAAACATATTGCTATTATTCATACTAAAATAAGGCACAATTGTGAATTGAACCAAGACTTATTCAAAAGTAATATCATTGATAATCCTTATTGCTTTTGTGGTAAAAATGAAGATGCCTTTCATTTTTTCTTCCTTTGTAAAAAATGCCTTTGATTTTTTCTTTGTCTGTAAGAAATGCCATAATGTTCGAAGTAATATTGTCGCCTGCGTGGTGCAGTGGTTAGAGCGTATACTCTAGAGTCGCAAAGAAAGGAGTCAATCCTTACGTCGCGGGTTCAAATCCCACTGTGGGACGAGGAGATCGGTCCTTTGCATGAGGTCCTTAGTTCCGAGCATAGGAAAAAAAATTGTAGCCCTCCACCGGCAAGTAGTGAAAAATGAGTGAAAAATTCTCGAGAGGAACGTTAACCAACAAAAAATCAATCAATCGAAGTAAAATTTTTGCTGTCTTTTTCGACTTGATTTAGACATTATAGATGTGCATCTACTGCTATGGGGCAACAAAAATCTCCAAATTTAAGTAAACATTGGCATTTTTGCCGCTGTTTATCAATTTATTACTGAATCTCGTATACAAATGCTTAAGATAGAAATTCACCCGTACAAAACAAATCACATGCACGTAGCTCATATATATACATGTTCGTGTTCCTGCAAAATTGATTGTATTTGATTGGCTATTCACGCCAATCAGAATGCAGTACTAGATATTGATCAAAACATAATAATGATAAATTGTAGTTTTCATCAATTTGCGATATTTGTGAACATGAAAGTTTTTTTCTTCCCTAGACTATGAAAGTTATACAGCTCCCCTTGCAGAAAGCTACGTAAAGCAATTACTGAGTGTGATGGACTTCGCAGGACAGGCAGCTTATTACGCCTGTCACCAGGTCTACTTATCACATAGAGCAATCTATCTGTTAGTCGTGGACATGACCCAAAACTTAAACACGAAATTAGAACAAGATGACAGAAATTGTGTTAAGGGCACCCTGTTTGAAGAATGGACTGCACTAGGTGACTAATGTCGTGAATTTGAGCATTTTTTATATAATTATTTACTAGTAATTGCATTTTCATCTCTAGAAATGAGTCACAATACATGAATATAGTTTCACTAGTATTTTTATGCTAATGAAATATATATAAAAATCTTTATATATGTTTTAGAATACTTCACCTTCTGGCTGCAGACAATTAGAACATATAGCAAGGAAGACGGTTACACAGGTTATCAAAGAATACATCATATTACCGGAAGCAGTGAACAAGGGAAAACATTGACACCTATCATTGTACTAGAAACACATAAAGATTCTTACAAAAATTCAAAGGTATGCTTATATATCAGATACTATTGTATCAGGGATATAAATTGATAGAAACTGAATGTACATAATAATGAAAAGGACATGCTCTTGCGTTTGTTGGGTATAACTGAATTTTGGTGATATTTGAAACGCAAGATAATTTTCAAAACGGCTGAAAGTCTTTAAAATGTGTGAAATAGTGAAGGATTGTTTTAATCAAATTGCCATTCTAGATTTCTTTGAAACATTTTGAAAGTTTTGGTCTGATTTCAATATAAGCTGACCAAAAGTAGACCACACTAATTACTGGCTAAGATACAGAATTCTGTCTATGGGTTTTTGACTTCGATGAATATTTTTGCCTTGATTACTAAAAATAGTAATAATAAATGATACTCCAAATACAGTGTTAGTCTGATTATAATATAATAAGGCAATGCAAATAGACGGCACTAAGAACATAAACAGGCTTAATCAAGGATTATTGTTACATTTACAGTACTTTCCTTTGTTTGTAAGAAATTTATTGAACAAAGAGGCGTGGCAGTCGAGTCGAGCAGTGACAAAATTTGTAAACTGCATGGCCTTGGGTCGGTGTCATCGGTTCCTGTGTTTAAGTGGGGATATATAGATTGATTGATTGTATATTGTTTAACGTCCCTCTTGAGAAAGGGATATATATATCATTATAGTAAACGTGCATTATATTTATGAAAATCTCCTCTCCTCCTGCATGGGCATTAAACAAAATAAGTTCATAATTATAATGATTTAGAGTATCGGTGTCTCTTCGAAAAAATATTATTTCATGGCCTCAGGGTTAGGGGTTCTGGTGTAAGGGTTAGGCTCTATTTTTGCATTAACCAATATAAGTTAAATTAAAAAAAACCTTTTTCATATACATGTAGCTAAAAAACTTCCTAAACATTTTCATAACATTTCTTAGATTTACATGCATGTATAATTATTATTCCAATTAAAAACTCTTATAAATGTTTTTTTATTATTATTATCTGTATTCAAATTAACACCTGTCCTATAACTGTTCGAAATATTTCCGGCATACTTGTATACGTAATACAAACTCACCGTTCAATGAAACTTCAAGATATAAAACACTAAAGTTTGCCTCAATGTTTGGTAGCATTTTATTAGCTATATTTTACGTATATATATTTATGATGACAAAAGTGTATCTAGCAAAATGATAAATATAAGGGCAACTGGGTCAGGTTTATTGGGAGGGGGTTACATATTGCTTTGAAATGTTTGGTATTAATTAACCATTTATAATGTAATAAAATTTATAATATAATAAAATTTCTAGAATTTTATGTATGTAGCCCCAAGGTCAGTGTTTCCAGTGGTGCGGGGTGCATGACTGGTTACATATATTAAGACAAAGTGTACATGCAAATGCACTTCCTCTTTGTTACTCTGATCTATCTCTTGGTTTAAAGAAACCAGAGTAAGCATGTTAAGTGAATAATAATGATGCTAACTCTTTTAGAATTGTGAATTTTATTGGCTCTGGTTTAAAACAAATGCAAATTTAATTGTTTGAAAACTGTCAAATGATACTCAGGTGACCTTTAATGTCCTCTGGCCAATTGTTATGATTTCTAGCATTTATGTAAACGAAAATGTGAGGATATCGAATATTAATCGATCTTTAAACATAGATAAACCATAAACTATATTAAGACGACATACTCACAGTACAACGTGATCCTTTTGGAATTCCAGAGGTCGTTAGCATACCTTTTTAATCTGTAACACCCACCTTGAGTTACGTTTTTTGTTCGGGTGGGCGGATTTTTCTTTTATCAACTGAACATTAAAAACGGAGTCCTAATTATTTTTTTATGAAAGTAGCTCAATGTGTTAATAAATGGTTGTTTATACTTATTTATTAGCACAGTAATTATAATTAAAACGAGTTGTTAACACTTTACAACTAACAAAATAAACAGAATCCTCATGTAAAAGAAATATTACATTACCATTTCCCTACAAGCACTTTCTAGCAGGATAAAGTTTCTCTATAAATTTAGCGTAACTAATGGCATGACATAATATTTTAATTGGAAAATATTTTTTTTATTTTATGAGATTAAAATAGTATAAAATATTTGGAATTTGGCAAAAAATTGAAGATTTAAATAAATGAACTTTATTAAGCGTGTGAAAATGCGTGATTGCGGGGAAACGGTAGATGCGTGATTGTGCGTTAGAAATAGGAAATGGTATATGCGTTAGAATGTGTGACTGCGGGCATGGGGGTTTATATACAAGTAACATTGTTTACCATAGGTCATATTCACACATGTACTTACCACATAATGATGACATTTTTGCTGTTTGAGGTCATGACTATAGAACAAATAATTTTATTACACATGCTCTTTTAAGACTACGTATTGAACGTATGCAGACTTTGCACTTCGATTTGTATTGCGGTAATGAAGATTCGAGATACGGGGAGAATTTGCGAATTTTTATCACCCCTAGAAAATGTGAATTAACAGTTCTCCATCAGCAAGTTATGACGTCTCAATGCGAGTGAAATTTTCTCGAGAGAGACGTTTAACAAGAAACAAACAATCCTGTTGCTGATTTGCCTATAAATACTATTTTCAGCCTCTCACTTGGTATTCATGTATAATCAACATAGTATAAGACATGAGATACCATAACAAAAACTGTAGAGTTGTCAACATTTGGATTTTATTAGTTGAGAAGAAAATAAAGAAGGAGAAAGGTGTATTTATTGATGATTTTATCTGTGATTCTTATAAAGAGGAATGGAAATCTTTATTTTATTGGCAAGGCTGATTGTTCTATCTATTTTAGGCCAGTGAAGAGGATGCCTCTGCATATGGAAGTTTTTTCATAAAACTACGCAAACATATACCAGGAAATATTAAAAACCTTGTTTGTAAAGATTTTGAGCTGGAACTTCCTCCAGGAGAAAGATCACAAGATGAGCTTCGAGAACTTGAAAAACTTAGACGCTACATTGCAAAAACTGCAGAATCCCTTCCACACTGGGGAGAAAGAGTACCAAAGCAGTGGTCTGATTTTGAACAAATTATTCGAGACAGAAAACGTGAAGGATTGAAAATTTTATCTAAAGAGGAGCTTCAGAAATTCATAGAAAACTCAACGGAGTATGATTTTGGAGATATTCTGAAATTTTATCACGAAATTGGATTGATTCTGTATTTTCCAGATTTAGGTGATGACATTATTCTGGACATACAGTGGTTTGTTGACGCATTTAAACACATTATAACTGATCGGAAGCATGTGCCAACAAAAATGGCTTCTCACGAAGATTGGGATCAATATTTTGATGATGGTATGATAACAGAGTCCTTGATGCTCGAAATTTGGGAGGATATTGGAAATGATTCCACTTATGCCAAATATCTGAATAGGATAACACCTTTTATGGAGAAACTTGGCATCCTTGCAAAAATGAATAGAAAAGATACGACAGAAAGTCAATGCTACTATATCCCAAGCATGAACAAAAGTCAATTTGAGAAAGGGGAACAATGGACAAAATTGAATAAGACACCAATACTCTCATTTTACTTCAAGACATATTTACCCCACTTCTTTTTCTTTCGCCTTGTTGTTGCTTGCTTCGCCCTTTTGGATACCCAAGCCAAGGAGGTTTACAAAAATATTGCATTTTTCTGCGGATCTGAAAAAGATGAGTATCATACCGTTGCTATTGCAGTCAACAAAACATCGATTCAACTGCAGGTGCTCACTCCATCAGGAAATGACATACCACTACGCACGGAAAGAACACGAGATATCCGTTTCAAAATAGAAAAGAAAATAGCAGAACTTACAAAAACATTTCATGGAAATGTAGATTACGAGATAGGTTTCCCTTGTTCATGTGAAAATATTCTCATTACAGAAGAAGACGAAAAGCGTTTTATTTCTGAGAAAGAACTTTCTGAAATGTATGCAGAGTACCCACCATGCCCTAGGTGCAAAGTACATTCCGACAAAAGAATAAACAAAAAAGAACTTTTGGAGATATGGGGGGAGGGTAAGTAGATTGAAAGAATTAATAAACAAGTTGGCTTATAAAATAGAGAAAAACATGAATAATATGTACTTTTTTTAATAAATCTCTTTCTTAAAATTTATTATACTGTATTATGAAATTTAATTTCATATGATTCTTAGCAACAGCAGAAAACTGATATATCTTTTATTGAACTTTCATTTCTTCATATCTTTTATTGGCTTTATGTTTAGCTCTAGAAATAATGAATTTTCTTTGGTGCAGAATTTTAAGGCTTTGTGTCGCCTTATTTATAATTATATTGTATACCAATTATTTTAACCTTTCGGCAAAAGTTTGGAAAATCCTCTCACTATACATGGTAAAGTTATTCAAACAAGTTAATTATAAATCTCTGAGAAATGATGATGATATCTGAAAAAAGTATCTTTGTGTTATTAATACTTATTCTTACCATAGCTTTGTGAACTCATATATACGTTATTCAGCGTCACATAACCCTTGTACTTAAAAAGACAACGTGGTTTGGGAGGAACGGTGGTTGTGGCCAGTTTTAGACTAGATTGATCTTCTTAAGAAGAAGATTTCCATATGAATATATAAAAAAATGATGAATTTTAAAATTAAAATGTATGAAAGTTTTTATATAATGATAATAGACAGCCTAATATATAATGTCTTAAAAAGTATATCTGATGATTAATTTGCAGACCCCCATCCTTTTTACGTTTTTGATTATTTTATCCAATGCTTGAACCATTTGTGCACGGTACATTATTGACACTCAAATATCTTTCTTTCTTTGTTTTTATTATTCAATTTTAGCGCTAATTTCTGATTTGGTTAACATCAATTCCAGGTGATCTAGCTAAATTTAATATTTTTTGAAGAATGTGTAATTAATTCATGGGTATCTTTTTTTTAATTTCAGGTGAACTGTAGGAACTGTAAGAACACTTGGTAACGTACAGCTTTAGACATGGGGATCGGACTTCCGGAAGCTGCGGTTCATAACGTTGATGAAAATGTTGAATTGTTAACTGCAGATAGGATTAAACGTTGGAAATAATTGTATCTTTAATATGTAATATTTCGTTTCAAGGGCTTACCTTGTACTACATGTAAGATCATAAGGCAATTGTCTAAAATCAATATAGCTATTAACATTCTATAAATCATAAATCTTAAATATTTTAACATTTTAAAGGAATATATAGTTGATTTTTGCGAGAACACTGGCTTTTAGTCGAGGGACTTCGTTATGTGCGGGTGTACAACATTTTTGATCGCTAAAAAAGCAGATTACAGTTAAAATTTGAACTGGTTAATTGTTTGAAAATAATATTTATGTAACATAAAATTGGAATATATTTCATTTAGCAATGCAATTTTCCAAAATCTAGCTCTTTTTTCAATGTCTTTGACGTATTTGACACACCGATAAGACATAAAAAGCCCATTAGAACAAAATCACACATGTGGGTTGTAGTTCTTTATTTTCGTATTTCTATTACGCTATACTGGATATAATTTATTATTTTTACACGCTATGCTTAATATACTTTAGACATTTTTTTTCAATAATCAGGAATCAAGAAAGATTTGCTCATGTTGAAATGATTTTTTGCTTATCTAGCAGAAAAGTTTTTTTTTTATTATAACAAACTATTCATTTGTGTATAGTTAATAAATTAACAACATCGAAAATATTTATTTCATATGGTTAGGAATTAAAAAAAAACTAACAAAAACATTTTTTTTTTCAAATGCTCCAATACCTTTATTACTGCTAACTTTTATCTACATTTAATACTTCACTTTGAAGAAAAGAAAAACCGTTCATCCGTTCCAAGTTACCGTTTAAGATAGCCCAGTGGTAGAGCGTTCGCTTCGTGATCGGGAGGCCGGGGTTCGATTCTCGTTCTCGGCGCCGCATCAAACCTAAGACGTAAAAAAAGGTAGTGAGTGTTCCTTCACCAAGCGTTCAGCATCATAAGTGAAAGTCACGGGTCTTTCGGATATGACCTTAAAAACGTAGGTCACGTGTCACTGTAGGCGCTGGCATGATAAAGAACCCTCACTGCTCACTGGCCCTGAGTGCCGAGTATATATGGGTCTAAATTTGAAGCCCTTCGCCGACAGATGGTGACGTCTCCATATGAGTGAAAAATTCTCGAGAGTAATGTTAAAAATCAATCCATTCGAAGTTATAAATAATTACTGGTATTTGAATTACATGTAAATAAAGTAAGATATTATCACATTCCTCTCAGTTTATACACAAGGATGTGTATTGCTTATTGTCATAAGCATTGAGATATATATTATCATATCATTATTATGCATCATAATTTTTTTATTTCATTTATATGTGCATTTGTAAATTAAGAAAATGTCTTTTCTCAGCAAAAACTATTGACTTACAATATACAATTAGAAAGTACAACAAAATTATCATTGCTTTTATTCAGGGAGATTTTTTTTGTTCAATAAATTTGTAAATTAAAAAAATTCTTTTGTCAGCAAAAACTATTGATTTTCCATGTATATTTAGATAGAACAATAATTTGATAATTCCACCTATTCTGCGAGATATCATTTCTGTCATTACGATTCTGTTTTTGAGTAATAAATTATATATTAATTTTCTGGAATTTGTTTGTTAATCAATTGACTTTAATTTATCTCATGCTTTTATTAAATACATTGTATATTTTTGTTAATTTAAGAAGTATATAATGCAGAAAACACACCGTAGCCGTGACGTGTTTAGAAACGATAATTATTTAAATTCACTGATATTGCAGGAATATTTTTATAACCAGGACAATAAACAATTGGACAAGCAGTATAATAATTTCACAGACTCCTGCCCTGTGGAATATATCTACGCCACCCCACCCCTCCCCCCTGCACCCCCAAAATATCTTTTAAGGATATCGTGCTAGCAAAACTGATTAAGGTATTTGCAGCATCTTTAATCCAATACACTTTACAAAAGAACTACCTACCACCTTGCATATATAATAATTTAAAACCAACGGAACAAGCAGAAGCTTCTTATCATAGATAAAACCATTAAAAGGGAAGCACTCTTCACTTAATATATAATAAATTATATAACAAGAACTAATTGTGATTCTACTTTCTGCAGAACTTCACTAATCTACTGTAAGAAAAAATAGAATACTTTTATTTGTCTGATGTTAAAAATCCCTATCTAGACGTTGCAGGGTTACAATTTTCCAACTCTACCTACTTACTTACTTACTTAGGCCTGTCGTTCCGTGAGGAACATCGGCCATCAACAACAGTTCTTCAACGAACACGATTCTGAGCTGCTCTAGCGGCATCATGTCTGGTCATATCCTGTGTCTTTACCTCCGACTCCGAGTCACGCCTCCTGGAGTTTCTATGACGTCATCCTTTTCTTTTGCCCTGTGGGTTCTTAGTCAGGGCCTGGTGTGTGATGCTGGATGGTGACTTCCTTAATGTGTGTCCAATCTAACCCCACTTCCTGTCTTATTTGTATGTCCATTGGTTTCTGCCTTACTCTTTTCCACAGTTCTTCATTGGAGATCCTTTCAGGGCATTGGATGTTGCATATGCGCCTGAGGAAGGTGTTACAAAATGTCAGGATACCTCTTGTCATCTTCCACGTCGCTGCACCATCAATAGGACGGACTTTACATTTGAGTTGAGGATACGCCGTTTAGTGGTAATACGGATGTTTTCTGAGGCCCAGATGTTCTTGAACATGACAAATGCAGTTCTTGCCTTGCCAATTCTTGACCTGATGTCGCGGTCTGCGTCACATGTACACTGTCTATGCACCACACTCCCCAGGTAGACGAAGGACTCAACTTCTTTTATGGGCTCATCACAAACTGTGACTGGTGCCTGGACAGTTGTGTTTATCTTCATTCCAACAGTTCCAACTTTACTTGGCATTTAAGAACATTGACAAGTAAGGAATCTGTTTAATGACAAAATATAATACGTCACGGGACATAGGTTTATTCGGTGTCATATAAAGGATCGGTCTCTACATTTCTGAACCCGCAACCCTAAGATCAGCTCCTTACATTTCGTCTTAAGACCAATCATTATAATCATTGTCTTACGTCAGCTATTTCAAAACCTGTACAACTTAAGACTTATAAAGTAATCAAGAAATACTTAAATTAACATGTGTTACTCCCTTAAAAATTTGATATCCTATAGAGAAAGATTTGAATTTCTAATATACAGGATGTAGTACATACAAGGTGTCCCAAAACATATGTTACACTTTTAATTACCTATAACTTTATCAAATTAATAGCATTCACAAAGATATTTTGTCAACTTCTAATGTATCAGCATACAGTTTATCTGACAAACTCTTGAGAACTTTCTATTCAAGAGTCAGGTTATTATGATGTCCTAATGACGTCATCATATTTTGATATGGAATTTTCATGTGAAGAGATGGTAGAAATTGTAAAACTTCACTATTGGTCTAAAATTTCTACTTTATTCATTAATACCAGACGAAAACAACATCTTGTTATGAAAGTCCTCAACAGAATACTAATTTACATGTTTATGAAGGTATTTGGAGTTAAACTGTTAGAATATATAATATATTCACAGCTTTGTAAATAAAAACTTCAGGAATTGGGTTCACACAATTTCAATTCAATGGACGTCATTTGGAAAATGGTGTAAAATGACATATGTTATTCTAAAGAAAAAAATTGTTGATTAATACGGAAATTATGGCAACTGAATGCTTCACAAAAAAAAATTATAACAATGTTATTATATATTTTAAATTTCATTATTGTAACTTGAGGCATAGAATTTTTATAACGGCTTAAAAAAGTAACATATGTTTTGGGACACCCTGTATGTAAGAACTCAGTGATGCATTGCTTTTCAAAGCTGGATTTTTCGGCACAATGTTAAAAGAAATAATGTCATATTTCTATATTGATTTACGACAGTTTGAAGTTCTGCTAAAACATACGAGTAAACCCACCTCTAAAATAGTTTGTTGTGATCAACTTCAATCACTTATCCAATTCACGAGACAATTTTGAATAAAGACTCAATCTGCATATCACAGACAAAATGTGTGGAAAATTGCAGAGGAGAAAGTAAAAAAAACTGCTGCATTTAAACATAATCTTTTTTTCTATTTTGATAAAGCAAATAAAAAAAAGCAAATTGATCTTAAATTGATGGGTACATATACAATGTAAAAATATTTACCGGTCAGCAGAGGATGGCCACTCCTTTATGATATCCGATCCCACCTCTTGTGTTTTGGAGGTTCTTGTTTGCTCTGCTCCTGTTTTTGTATTGTTCTATGGACTTTGATTTTGAATACTGAGTATTATCTTCATATGCTTCATAAGCATTAAGTACGCAGTACAGGTAAGGTGCCAAATGGAAATATCGACAACATTTTTAATTAAGAATGTATTCATAATCAAGGTGGCAATTATTTTATTACACTATATATATAGATAATAGTAAATTTGGTTAATAACTACAAATCGAGACTTTTTAGACTTGTAATGTGTTCTTTTTGCACATTTACTCGCTGTATAGAGGGTACATATAAATTTCACTAGTGCATGGGCTTAACCAAGTTAAAATTCCAAGTTCATATTATATTTGAATGATCGAATGATGCATCATTTGCAGGTCAACGTCATTAAATATTGATATAATTAAATTATTTTTATCAATATCGCAGGATAAATATGTATAGAATTTTTTAAAAATCTAAATAAATACCCGCATTCTGAAACTGACACATGGATATTCTTGATTGCATACTTAAGTGAATATGAGGCTTTCTACAAGTATTCTTCTTGTAATGGTTACTTCCAACGTGTGTTTTTTTGCAATTCATCAGGACATCTTTCAACATTTATAGCTTTCAAATAGGGACCCTGCCCGATGCCTTCTATCTACTATATTTTCTGATGACGTTTTAGGATAAAATAAATATACATAAAAAAAGTTTACGCAATTTTGCAAGAGTGTATTTAAGGAATCACTATCTGGTTTGTATAGTATGCCAGAGCATCAATGATAATGGGAAACATGGGATGATTTGCTAGCAGGCGAAGCCCATTACGCATAAAATATCCCATGTTTCACGCTATCGTTGAAGTCCCTTGCATACTATACTATCTAGACAGTGAATCCTTATATCTCCATTTCATTGTAAAATAAAATTGTAGATTTAGACTTTTAAAATGTAGACATAGATTTAAATTACGCAAGGACTCCAATGCCAATTTCAATATTCCTCGGTCACTGACGCCAAACACAAAGGCATGATTTACATGCATATTAAGCCTCCCTAGCGTCAGACACAAAGACAGATTCTCACGAGATTTGCATGATATTTGGCAGCTCTTTACCTATCGACCTGCCTTATTTACATTTCGGTAGAATTATTAAGAAATCCACTCTGCTACATGTCAAAGAGTTATCATAGAGAAAAAAATCGAAAAGGAAATATTTATATCTAGTTTTACCTTTCCACTGTATAAATGAGGCAGCATGACAAATTGTTATTCAGATTTGAAAAGTTTGTTGATAGTTGTACATGCCTGTTAATAAGTGTAAGATTTTAATTAATCCAGAGAAATGATTAAATGCCGCCATACATGTATTATACCCACGTAGTAATCGTAAAAATAAGTGTTAATGTAGAATCTTGTGCGTGAAGGATTAAATCGTGAGTTAATTCTGTGG